CGCAGGCCCGGGTGAGGGGCCCCCCCCCCTCCAGTGCACAAATTTTTGTGCACCGGGCCTCTAGTATTTTTAATATTACCTATATAGTATTTCCAAAGGTAGCTTCAGTAATAGATCCATTATAAATCATTTCATGGGGGATTTCGATAATATCCATTCCTAAATGAAAACTGCTATCCAGTTTGCCATCTCCAAGTTTTACTAATCATTCACTATAAGCAGAATCCTCTGATCTTATATTTGTTTTAAGAGACAACTTTCTGAAACATCCCCAACATTACAGTACTTTAAACTCGTTTGTACTATGGCTGATCGCATAACACTGAGACATTGTTGAAAATCCCCTCTGAGAAGAACTTTCCCACCAAATGCAACATTCAAATTCATAATTTCTCTTAGTAATCTGCCTCTGGGTGCTCCAGGCACCCTGAGGGCAGGTTCCTCCCTTAGGCCTTGCCCTGGCGGGAAACAGCTTGGGGAAGGTGCCTCAGGGCTGGTGGAACTGATGGACGTGTGGGGGGGTGACATGGAGGTGGTGCCTGCACTTCTGATCACTTGCACACTGTGTTTTATACCACAGCATATGGCAGTGGCTGTGAAGGTCGCCACGGCAACCCAGCGCTGACTGCAGGACTAACTTTCAGCTGATCGAGCCTCTGGTTGTTATGGACCCAGGGTTTTTATATATTAGGATCTTATTCAAATGTATAGTGCCTATACATAACAAATGGTAGCTCAACACATACTGAATTGAATAACTCAAAGGTTTTATCCTATTGATGGCAATTCCAGATCAAATAAGAAAGGATGATAAGGATATTACAAGAGTGTAGGCACAGATAAAACTATTATTGGTAAGGTGGAACCTCATAGAGGAAGCTTGAATCAAAGCATGCAATTTCCCCCTATTTCAACCAATATTAATGCCAACCCTTTATGTGATGGAAATTATCCCAATATTTTTCCTTCTTTTGTTTCTACCGATTTTCTTTCATTGGTTGTAAGCTCTATATCGTTAATGCTATGCGACAGTAGACAACACTATCTTAGGAAAAGTTAATGACATTGATTTATAAAACCCATGGAGACACAACAAAAGGTTCATTTTATTTCTCCAAACAAGTCATGATTGTTTCCTGAGATTACATGAGTTTAGAAGATATCTAGTATCTCTATTCAATAGTCTAATTTTTCAGTACAATATATATAATTTTTTATTTTCCAAGTTCTCATGTTGTATTTCGCACGTTTGTGTTCTATTTCTTACAAAAATCCCTCAAGGTTAAAACTGTTATTAATGTACATATTCTAACACATTTAACCTTTTCATTTAACCCTTCTGCCAGCCTTGTTCTGGACACTGAAATGTTGATTATTGAAAAGAGAAAATAGATTTGGACACAGCTAAAAGCACAATCTGTAGGCTTTTACGATATCTGCTGTGCACTGTCTCACATCTCTTCAACCTCCAATTCCAGCTACCACTCTGGTGAACAGTCTGGGCAGGTTTCCCCCTATTCTGTGCTGACAGTGCCTCACTCAAGCTTGGACCAAGGATCTGGCTTCCTGTCTCAAGGCTTCTCTGATGTGGCAATGAGTGATGCTCTGGTACCAGTGAGGTTCTCCCAGCTTTGCAACCACAGGGCTTGGGGAATTAACACCACTGGGAGCAGTTCTCAACATGCAGGAGATGGGTGCGGAGAGATAAATGCTTCTCCTTGCCAACCCTCAGGCAGATGGTTCCAACACAAAATTTAGTAAGAATCCTGAGAAGGTTCTTCACTAAGAAACTGTTAATAGTGGTGGACACTTGATAACACTACCTTATTTTGCTTGAATTTTCTCTCCCCTTCCCCCCTCTCACTCCTCTCTCTCATTCCTGCTCCCTGGGATTACATTCTCAAATAGAATATGCCTGCCTCTGTCTCAGGCTCTGCTTTCAAGAATAATGTAGATTAAGAAGACTGTAGGTAAGTAGGTTGTTGGTAGATTATATAATGCAGGAATATCATTTCCCTCCACTCTGCACATGTTACAAAGAAACATTCAGTTGGCAGTAGTTTATGATAATTTTGATGATTTTCCATCTTTTTCCTTTTTTGGAAGGTCACCATCCATCCTGAAGCCAGACGACCTAAAGAAAAACAGTGGTAGAAATTACCTTCTAATTGAATAGGCAGACTTCTCTGTGATGACACTCTAAGGGGTTTATCTTTGTGAGGGGACCCTCAGCAATTTGGTTAGATATTCCAATCTGATAAGGAGAAGCCCTCAGTGTATTTAATCAGAAAAAACTTTTTGTTGCTTTGGAAAAAACCTTATCACATTTCTTATTCCCCTTGGTAAAAGCCTAGAGCTTTTATTACTATAATAATCCTTTTTTGCTGAGAAACTCAAGCATACTTTAAAAATGTAAAAATTACTAGAATATAATCAGGGCTTTTTTATTCATAAAAAACTGAAGAAATACCTAGAAAGATATAGGGGTTACTAGCAATAAACTAAGGTTGTCCACATGCCAGCTTTGAGAAAAATGTTAACAATTAGAAATTTTTACAAATTCAAGATATTGAAGAAACAGCAGAGAACAAAATTGGTAAATTCCCCTCCCCTCTCACCAGAACTTATATTGGTGTGGAAAGCGAGACAATAAATAAATTAAATAACTAAAATACATAGCATTTCAAATAAAAGGTATAGATAAAAATAAATGGGTGAAGGTGGTCAAAAGTACAAACTTCATTTATAAAATAAAAAATCCCTAGAGATATAATGTACAGCATGGTGACTAAAGTTAACAGTACTATATTGTATATTTGAAAGTTGCAGAGAGTAGATCTTAAAAGTTCTCATCACAAGTAAAAACATTTTATAACTGTGTGATGATCATTTCTCTATATATTCAAATATAGAATCATGTTTTATAACTGAAACTAATATAATGTATGTCAATTATCTATAATAATAAAAGCGTAATATGCAAATCGACTGAATGACGGAATGATTGAACAGCAGAACAACCATCTGGACAACCACACTATGACATGCACTGGCACCAGGCCAGCCAAGGTGGGTGCGATACGATTGGTTGGGGGGCCCTGCCATTGTCCCGGGATCGCCCCACAGATGGAGGCCCCAGCCACCCTCTGTGGGGCGATCAATGGGGGGACTCCGCAATTGATCGCTCCAAAGAGGGAGGCTCAGGCCACCCTCTGCACGGCATTCGATCACAGAGCCCTGGTGGGCAGGACCCACCTCTGCTGGGCGATCCATCGGGGAGCCCTGCGATCGATCACCCAAAGAAGGAGGCCCAGGACACCAGCCAGTGATGCTGTGGTAGGTGTGCGGAGCTGGACAGAGATTGCACCCATGCCTGTCGTCCACAGAGGGAGGCAACTGGTGGTGTTGGGGCAGCGCTGCATAGATGGCAAGCAGTGGCAGTGGCAGGGGCGGGGCAAGCTGCCGGCAGCCAGGAGAAAGAAAGCCCCAATAGGTCCTGATTGCCAGCCAGGCCTAGCGACCCTACCCAAGGGGTCCCAGATTGTGAGAGGGCACAGGCCAGGCTGAGCTCCCCCCCCGCCCCCACACCCCCAGTGTACAAATTTTGTGCACTGGGTCTCTAGTATCTAAATAAAAAAATAAGCAGGGATGGGGAAAGAGTGTACAAGTTTTTTTGTTTTATTTCATTTAATCTAGAGATCTGAGAAAATGACATTTGAACAACAACCTGAGGAGGAGAAAAGGGTCAGTCACATGAGTATTTGGGGGAGGAACACTTGCAAAAATGAAAAAGGAATCCTAAGAGCTCTGAGATAGAAAGAGACCAGTGTGGTCTGAGAGATGTGAGCATTAGAAGCTGAGGTTAGAAAGGGGTTGGAGAAAGGAGGCAGTGACAGGTCATATGAGAGAGGGGTTCACAGTGGATGCAGGGTATACTACACACCGAGGGAGTATTTTGAAAAACATCTGCTATTATTATGATTGGTTGAAACTACTGGCCTTTAGTAGATAGGCAATATGCATGTTAAAAGTACAGTAATGCTCCCAACAAAGTATTTTTCTACATTTTGTGCAACTGTAAAGTAACCTACTGCTCATTCATGTAGATGTAACATTTTATAATTATTTATGCTAACATCTAAATTTCATTCATGGTAAGTTAGGTTATTGGGACCAACTCTCCATTGAAAACAAGTAGACATTTTGGATCAAAATCATATATTTGATCAAATCTGGAAAGCTTCTGTGAATATTTTTTTAAACATATTTTATTGATTTTTTACAGAGAGAAAGGGAGAGGGATAGAGAGCCAGAAACATCGATGAGAGAGAAACATCCATCAGCTGCCTCCTGCACACTCCCTACTGGGGATGTGCCCGCAACCAAGGTACATACCCTTGACTGGAATCGAACCTGGGACCCTCAGTCCGCAGGCCGATGCTCTATCCACTGAGCCAAACCGGTTAGGGCATATTGTGAATTTTTTTTTCAAATATTTTTCTGCCCCATACTCAGTCTTTTTGCTTTTTGGGGATCTAATTCCATGTCTGTTAGATCACTTGATACTATTCTATGAGTCATGGATGTTTTATTTAAAAAAATATTTTTTTTCTCTGTGTATTTATATTTGCATAATTTCTAGTGACTTGTCTTTAGATTGATGATCCTTTCTACTTTTGTGTCCAACCTACTGATAATCCAATCAAATAAGTTCAGATATTGTATTATCCAGTTCTAGGACTTCCATTTTGTTCTTTTTAAAAAAAATTATCTGCCCACCCCGCCCCGTGCGGCTCAGTGGTTGAGTGTCCATCCATGCAACAGGAGGTTATCAGCTGGATTCCTGGGCAGGACACATGCCTGGGCTACAGGCTCAATCCCCACTGGGGGATATACAGGAGGCAGCTGATCAATGTTTCTCTTTCATCGATGTTTCTATCTCTCCCTTCCCCCTCCTCTGTAAAATCAATAAAAACATATTTTAAAAAATAATATCCGTATTTCTCTTGAAATTCTTTATCCATCTTTTATATCCTCTTTAGCAAGATTCTTTAATATATCTGTCATGTTTATAGTTTAAAGTCCTTGTTTACTAATTCCAACATCTGTACTGATTTATTGTTTCTATTAATTTATGACAAAGGTGACATCGCAGAACAGTGGGGGAAAGGATGGTCTTTTCAAGAAAAGAACCTGTGTCATAATTAAAAAAAATTTAA